CAGTATCGAGCGCAACTTGGACCAGACAGCGGTGACATGCACCAACGCTGGGCATGTGACGTACCAACTTCCATACCCGAACGATCTTCTGAAGCCCCGAGTTTTTGCTGTTCCGGCTCTTTGGATTTCTCTTGGTCTTTTTTTTGGGCACCCCTTCCTTTTTGCTATCCCCTCAGTGCACAGAATCACAGGCCAACCAGGCCTTCTCACGTCTTTTGGATTTCTTTGCAATTTCCTTCAGCAATCCATGCATTTATGTAGGAATTATGCGCGCCTTAGTGAGCGCGGTAGGAATTTTGTTTGGCAGTTGGGAACTCCGGAAATTACGGGTGCTCCTCCCGCTGACGTGTCCTCTCTTGCAAGTGAATGTTCCGGCACCCTCCTTTGAAACATCTGTGAATATTCTGTAGGAAGCTAGATAGACGTAGGATTTTCTCGCGCTCAATCCTGCGCGCTGATGTTGCTTTTGAATTTTTAAATCTTGAAATAGTTCTAGGACTAGGATAAATTAAACGTAACTGTTTCGGTGCCTTTTTCTTTTCTGCACCCGCGCCATGCATGCAAGCGTCCCCTGCTTCCCGCTATGACCCATGCCATCTTCACCCTTCTCCTCTTCGCACCTTCTCTCCTTCACCCTTCGCCCCCACTCCTTCTCGTCTGAATCTTGGTCCCGCTCCGCGCTGCTCTTCGCGCTGTCTTCCTTCCCGTCTTCATCCCCATACAGGAACTCCCTACGGACCCCCACCCAGAGTATTCGAAGCCATCAGGCGACGTTGTGTAAGGAGGATACTCCCCACACACTGTAATCTGATTGGCTGTGAAAGAGCTCATGGGGATCGATATGGCTTTCCCCGGGTGATTAACCCAAACTCTTTCCTCACCTCCTCCTATCCCCACCCCGCTCTTCACCATCTTCTATTCCCCTCTTCGCAACTACAAAACCCACAAGCGCGTTCGAAAAATTCTCTTAACCCATCTGCCAGCTTCAGGGAAGTCGTGACTAGGCGATGTGTAAGTAGCGAGTCGGAATGTCCCGATGAGCCGACGGAAGCGTATGCAAGGCTGTGTGCCAGGTGGCCGCGACGAACTGCGGGATCTGGGAAAGTTGGTGCAAAAGCTGAGTTGGCGGGGTGACGATCGTTGTGGTTTGGAGGTTGGTCCGTGGCGGCCGGGATCGTCAGTACCGGAGTGAGAAGAGTGTGTGTGTACGAGTGGTTGCATGGCCAAGGGCCATTATCAGAGAGCAGAAGGCCGGTGCGCCTTGATTTTCAGATTCTTCTTCCTTTTGTTCTCAGAAGCTAAGTCCATGGCGAATAGCCGGGTGCTCCCCCTCAAGATTGTCTGTATGACCAGAGTTCTCTCCCTCTCTTCTCAGTCCTCTTCTTCGGTCAAGCTACGCTTTCATCTCCCTTCCTCCCTCTCTCTCTCTCACTCGTTCCCTTGCTCTTATCTATCTGATGAACGCCAAAATGACACGAGATTTCCTTGATCTGGGTCACTCCTACTGAATTCATTCGGATCTCACACAAAAGAGCATCGTTGAATTCAAAGGGACCAGTAAGCCACCAGAGATCTTATCGGTTTTCTTTTTCGGTTGTTGATGCGTCTTTCAAACAACCGAGGATCCGTGTATGTGAGATTTGTTACACATGTGCATCGATTGGGCTAACTACGCTAAAATCCCGCTGAGATTATGGGAATGCATGCTTGTCGCTCCCTTAATGAATGATGATAGTCGTTCTGATTGGATCGAACTCGCACTTTTCTTTTTTATCGGTTCAAAGGCAATAAAGCACATAGCATTGCGACTGCTTGCTATTGTGATTGAACAACTGATTGGGTAGACTCACGCACTCAGAGTTTGCTTGTGCCATGTGGACCGATTGTCCCAACCTGACTGGGTGCCGGCTCCCCGCACCCCCATCGCGACCATTCCCGTACAACGAGGAAAGGACACGTGTATGCGAGTGGGACGTACGGGAAGCCATCGCCAAGATCAGCGGACATTACTATTTTCCACCCGAGGTGAGGTGTTCGGGGTTCGTGGGCGCTGGTTTTGTCATTGTCGACACCCACTTTTCCCGTACTCTTTATTATTGCCTTTTAACGAATTGATTGTCATCCCGTGAACGGCAGTAGCGCCCCACTGGCCCAACACTCCGTGCAGCGATTGTCGCCGCACCGAGCATTATTGGGAGAAGGGGTTCCACTACCGGACATGTGGTGAGGACGAACACAGGAAAAGAGCGACCAGGCTGAGACCATCCACGTTGGATTCCCAACTTTGTAGCGAATGACGTCGGGACTTAATTCGAAAACGAGATCCCACGTGTGTACCCTCGCCTTTCCGTTCGAAAAGACGACGAGTAGCTTGCGTGGAAGTTCAGAGATACTTTTTGGATTGAGTAAACATTTGAAAATAGCGGGCGCCATTTCTTTCCCGCGTGACCATGGTCCTTCCTCACTAAAACTGGAATCGCACGGGGGCTTTCAGTTTCGTCTGTGGCCCCACACTCAATATTCCCAAAAATCCTTGGCACACCCCATTTTTCTGTCCTTCAGGGCCTATTCCGCAGAAATTATCACTCCGACCGAAGGACAGGACATGGCGTGAGGTTGAACGTCACATACTGAGGGTAGATTGCCGGCTGGCCTGGAAGTGGTCTTTTTCCCCTGCCAGAAGACAGCAGGAAGGTTGTAGCGGCCTCTGGGTGGCTGGCCCAATGCCATAGATATACAGTCAAACCTTGTTGCTGGGTACATCCAGTAACAAGCGTGGATTGCAGGGTGATCTGGATCTGGAAGTCCTCATCTTCCCGCCAACAGACAGCAAGAACGGCGGAAGAACCCACCATGATTATAGCTGTATTTGAGCCAGCTTTCAGTCTAGACTCAGTGATAATGACAGGGTGTTTATTCAGGGGAAGACGGTAGCGGCTACGAAACAGCTATCCCCAGACCACAGGGATTTAGGCGCATTTATGAATGTCGGTAACTGTCTATTTATTAAGTTGTCCATCATTGTGGTGATGGCCCTGCCTGCCTATTGTTGGAACTCTCTGATTTAAGCAGCTGCTCCAGGGATCTCCAGGGATGACAGTTGGACAACATGGAAAGGCTTGTTGGGTATGGAGCTTGCCAGCTATGCTAGAGGACCGTTGCATATCGGTCGCGAACGGGTATAAAACCTAGGGGTTCCAGGGTCTGAAACCTAGGGGTTCCAGGTTATGAAACCTAGGGGTTCCAGGTTATGAAACCTAGGGGTTCCAGGGTATGAAACCTAGGGGTTCCAGGGTGTGAAACCTAGGGGTTCCAGGGTATGAAACCTGGAGGTTCCATCAAGGGCCTACTTCTCTTCCAAAATGTGTTCGTTGTACAGGTAGGAGAGACGACCTGGATTAGGTTTTGGACACGTAAAGTCGTCTGGTTGACATGAGACAGCCTGTTCCCTCCATATCTGCTTGGCACTTGAGCTCGTCAGTCCTTTGGGCTTCATATATGACCCAACCCAGTTGTTTCTTGCTTGAATCTGACCTTGTGACATTTTGGGCATAGACACACCAGTCTCCGAATGTGCAAAATGAGAACGAACTTCCCCGCTGAAACATGGCCAGATGCGCCCACCACATTTTTGTCTTTTTCACATTTCGAGAGTGGTGTGGCGATCCCCTTTCTCTTTTACTAGGTACAAGCGATGGACTTCGAATCAATAGGTTTCAAATTTCAATTATTACAGAAACAGTATTACGACCTTCAAACACGTGTTAAATTTACAGTTAAAAAACACTTAAAAACAGTTAAATTTAAGTAGTGCACGCTCAACTATGAAAAATTCTCCCAGACGGCCATTTTCCCCTGCTCTCTAGCGTTGCTCCATTTTCCCAGAGGGTTATTTACCTTTCCTGTCCTTCTGCGATGACTCCTTGAGTGTTTTTTTTTTTTTTTTTTTTTTTTTTCCGTTTTTTCTGGCATGCAGGTGCAGGGTCCATGCTACTGTTCTTTCTGAAGTTTCTGTATTGTATAACGGATGTCCATGACTGAGGACTCTTGGATCTGTAATTTGATAGCATATGCACATTTGCCTCGGTTTTCACTATCCTGCTTGCCCAGGTCTTTTGCCATTTAGGGCATCTCGCCACATCACCCTCAACATGTGAGAAATGAGAACGACCTTCCCGCTAGAACCTTGCCAGATGCACCCACCACGGTTTTGTCTTTTTCACATTTCGAGAGTGGTGTGGCGAGGCCCTTTTACTATCCACAATTTCGGGGGTCATGCAACCATCCACAATTCCTCGTGCTGCATTCCATATCAGGGACACCGTAAATCCATCGGCGTTCATCCAAATTGTCATGAAAATGTAAAACAAAAAAAATTGTCCGTTCGTCATAATCCGGTGAATCGTTTACAAGCTAGCACCCTTTCATGTCTTCCGCCTTCATCAGCATCGCTTGCAACTTTTATGTTACAGTGTCTTCTTCTCGCCTCGTTTTTCTTTCACTTTCTCATGCCTCTTATGAATCTGATCTGTCGTTAGAAGGTTTTTCGGTGGAGATTGCTTTTCGGTGGAGATTGCTTCGGTCAGCAATCTTCCATCCGATATGAGCTCCGTCAGACGTGTCAGGAAAAAAAAAGCGGTGGGTCATCATCTGTCAATATGCTCTAGAATTGTCGTCGGCGGCGGTCGGTGGAGAGATTGCCACGGTCCGCAATCTCCCATCATCTGCCACGGTCAGGTACAATGGACAATGCCGGAGACGGACTCATAGACACAGAAAAAGACAGCCTCAGAATTTGGTGGTAAAAATGATTCCTGATTCCGCGTTTTTTGTTGCTTTGGTTTCTGCGTTTCTCCCTCATTGTTGCCGGCTGTTTTTTTTTGTTTGTTTGTTTAGGTTGTTATTTGCCATGGTGGTGCTTTTCTTTTTTTTTTTCTTTTTTTTTTTCATTTTCCAGCTTGGACCTAATGTTTGATTTGCCTTGGCCGTTTCCTGTGCAGGTGCGATTATGCATGACCCGGCAGATGTGAAGGTTACACTAAACCCTAAGCCGGAGTGAAATGGAGAACACGAGGACCGTGGAGCTTCAATAGTCCTGTTTTGTCTTTGCTGTTGTTGTTGTTCTTGTTGCTGTTTGTAGGGTTTTGTCCCCTTCTTGCAAATTCTTTCGTTTAATTTTCTCTCAGTTTAATGTAGTTAATGAATTATGTGATAAATTGATAATGTATGCACACATACCGGGTGGCATTGTAAGTGGATGTATATATGTTTTGTAGAGTCTTTTTTCACTCTATTTGCAGCCATCAGTAGGCCGCTGAAGAGGTGGGGGGCTGGGGAGAGGGAAGAGGGAAGAGGAAGCGGCCAACGGGGGGGTGCTGTGGTCACTGTAGTTATCATCGTGTTGGCTGGCGGCAGCTATGGTGGCCATGGCTGCCGCAGTTGCCAGGTCAGTAGCCTGGCCAGGTTCAGCTGACAGGGGTCCGGAAAGGACTGTCAAGTGCAGAGTAGGTTTTGAGAATGGAGAGGGGCATATGCTGGGGAGCAGCCCACCGGCATGTGGGCCAACAGGGTCCTTTACAAGGGTCGCAAGGACAAGTATTCCATCGTCAGAAACAGTGAAACAGTGCAGCAACTGCTCACAAGTTCTGACAGGCAGGTGGAACACAGGGTATAACGGATCACTAATTGGTCGCGGGAGTGGTGGCGGTGATGTAGCGGCTGGATCAAGAGCCGTCGCTGGTGCTCAGCTATGTTGTCACTGGCATCTTCCGGGGAGTAGACAGAGGTTGAGATTTGCAGCAGCAGGAGCAGGACGTCTTCTCCCAGCTCGATATCCAGCCTCGGTGCCCATGCCGTTTTCAGCTCCCTGGGCAGTTCCCGAGGACAGGCATCTACCGGTAGTTATGCCACCCAAACGTCTGCTGCAGGCGGCATCGGCCATGGCCGATTCGGAGGGGAAAGGAGCTGGCAAAGCTGAGGGCAACGAGCCCTCTCTGCTTGCATCCGACGCGAGATCAAAGATGGCGGCGGGGACCAGCAGCACATCAACGCTGGTGGAGGCTTCTAGCAATGGATCAGTTAAGTTTTCAGTGGACAATCCTGCTGTGGCATCCGGTGAAGGTGGTTATGATGATGAGGGTAATAATGAAAATGAGTATGGAGATATTGAGATGCCTGACTGGGAAAGACATCAACAAGAGTTGCTGGCCAGCAAGATAGCTTCAGGTGAGTTCACAGTGGATCGCAGCTTTGTGGTTGAAGCTCTGACGATGGCTCGCGAGTTCTTGGCACGCTTTGGAGCGGTGGGCCGACCGGCTGCCATGGCCCTGGCCAGCGCAGAAAGGCAGTGGAGACTGAAACTGAGGAAGAGGCTTCCCGAAGCTCGGGGAAACGTTGGGTCCATCGTCGGCGAACCTTTCTTTCTTCCCCTGTATAACCTCCATCTTGTCTACGGGGGTGCTTTTCGCTTGTCGTTTGGCCCGAAGTCCTTCGTTATCATATCCGACCCTGCAATTGCGAAGTATATTCTAAGGGAAAATGCGAAAATGTATTCGAAAGGAATCCTTGCTGAAATTCTGGAATTTGTCATGGGGAAAGGTCTCATTCCGGCAGACGGAGAAGTATGGAAGACTCGTAGGCGAGCGATAGTCCCATCGCTGCACAGGAAGTATGTTGAAGCAATGATGTCCCTCTTTGTGCAGTGCGCTGACAAGCTGTGCAACAAGCTAGATGCTGCGATAGATGCTGAAGAGGGATTGCAAGGAGGAGGAGGAGGAGGAGGAGGAGAAGGAGGAGGAGGAGGAGGAGGAGGAGGAGGAGGCCCAGTTGTCGAAATGGAAGCGGAGTTTTCGCGACTCACCCTGGACGTGATTGGGAAGGCGGTTTTTAACTATGAGTTTGACTCGCTGACGAAAGACAGTCCTGTGATTCAGGCAGTCTACACGACATTGGCGGAAGCTGGGGCGAGAAGTACCGCCATCCTGCCGTATTGGAAGATAGGCCTCCTGAGAGCAATAGTGCCACGTCAGCGCCGAGTCACGGCCGCCATGGACATACTGAATGACACATTGGATGAACTGATTGACAGGTGTCGGAAGCTGGTTGAGCAGGAGGGTACAGAGTTTTCAGAGGAATACGTAAGTCAGGAAAGCCCTAGCATCCTGAGTTTCTTGCTGGCATCTGGTGAGGAAGTCAACAGCAAACAGCTGCGAGACGATCTGATCACGATGCTCATTGCCGGACATGAAACCGGGGCTGCTGTGCTGACGTGGGCTACTTACCTCCTGGCCATGAACCCTGACAAGACAGCCAAGCTACAGGAAGAAGTCGATAGGGTGTTGGGAGATAGGGTGCCATGCTTAGAAGACCTGCGGAAGCTGAAATACACCACACGAGTCATCAATGAGGCAATGCGACTTTATCCTCAGCCCCCAGTGCTGATCAGAAGGGCATTGGAGCACGACAAGTTTGGGAATTATGCCATCGCAAAGGGCACAGATGTATTCATATCCGTGTGGAACATTCATCGCTCTCCTCGTATATGGGAGAGAAGCGAGGAGTTCTGGCCTGAGAGATGGCCATTGGATGGGCCGGATCCGACGGAGGTGACCGAAGGTTTCCGATATCTTCCCTTTGGTGCGGGAAACCGAAAATGTATTGGTGATCAATTTGCGACCTTTGAAATGATCGTGACCATGGCAATGCTGGCCCGCCGATTCCATTTCACACTGCTGCCAAATTCTCCACCTATGCAGATGACGGTCGACGCAACCATTCACACTAAGGACGGATTGCACATGACAGTAACACGAAGGAGACACCCGACTGCATCACTGCCCCCGCAACTGCATTCCAATTCTGACTGCTCAGAAGATGCTGCTCTTCCGGCTGCCGGTGAATCATCGTTGTGTGTGGCCACTGCCTCGTCAGATCCTCGTCAACTTTTGGGGGAAGAAGAGCAACAACCAGTCTTGGCTGGTGCTCCTGCTGGAGCAAAACATCCATGATGTAAGTTCACTACACATTTTGTACAAAGTTATATGAGCACATCCTCCTCCTCCCGTAATTCCTCCCCCTTCTGCTTGTGTCCTCAAGTCTGGAGAAACAGTGTGAGAGTTAAAAATGCTCACCGAAAGTCCCATTTCGTAGAAAACTGCATTCTTTCAGGAACCCTGTACTATATACTGCTTTTCTCTTGACGAATAAAGTTCAAAAAATGATTGAATTTTGTGTGTGTATGTTGTGAT